ATTTTTGTATAACAAAATGGCAACATACTTGAGTATAGGTGCATACATTTAAGATTCTGAGATGAGCGTTGAATATATTGATTTAAAAATTATGTGTTTTTTTCTCTAATTTTAGTGTTTATGTATACAAAAATTATTTTTAAAAGTGCTTAATTTTCAACTTTAGGGGTAGTTTATGGTAGCAAATTGTAATTAGTTGATACTTTTAAGAGGTCAAAATAGAAAATTTCCAGGTTAGGTTAGGCCAGATTTTAAAGTTCGAATTTTAACAAAAATCATAAAAATCATGAACATTTGCAAACAATTGAGTTAGAAATTAATAAAAAAATATTTCTTTTAATTTTAACTTGAACGTTTTATACAATATTCCTCATAAATTGMATAATTTTCAAAAAATATTGACTCTTGATAAGCTATTTATAGACTTTTTAATTTTCTGTATATTTTTGTTTTTATTAAATATCGATAAAAATATTTTCTAGGTTAATAAAGGTGAAAATTTAATACGAGGTTCCTCATACCTTTTTATAATAGCAGTTTGAAAATATTTAAGATACGCTTTTTTAAAAACATTTAAAGTTCAAATTTTAACAAAATTAGGAAAGTTTGCAATTTTTTAATTAAAAAAATTATAAAACGTACAATTATTATAACTTTAAGGATGGAAAATTAAATACAAGGTATATATTATGACTAGGTACTTACACTTAAGKGCTCAATATTTTACTTAGRTACATTTATTAACTATAATAAATTAAAAAGACATTATGTTTTTATATATTTACTAATACGTATTGGTATATTATCTACATGTATATCTTTGAAAGGTTTGATGCATAATAGATCCATAGACTATAGATGCCGAAATTTGATAGATGAATTTAATATACSTACATGTATTATTTGCTAAGTAAAAAAATACAAGTGTACTTTACAAATACATGAATTATAAGACACTTTATAATATACATGTKGGAGTTGAATTTTAATATTGTTTTATTTTTAATTTTAAAACTGTGACGAATCATAGATATGCATAGCATTTTCATTTGTAGGTACATTTCATTATTTTTCGCGCCTAGGTATTTATAATATTGCTAAAGTACCTACATTTAACTTAATACTTATAAATTAGCCTAACTTTTTTACTGTTTTTAATTAACTATAGGGTACCTACTACCTAGGTAATTACCTACCTATACAATTACTATTTAAATATTGTATTATGCTCTCAAAACATTACAAATCATTACATTTTTCAGTAGGTAAAAGTTAATGGACATGCTAAAATGTATAGTTATAATTTTAAAATGTATTCAACTCATTTAATCCCATTAACTTACACGTGGGAACTTTCTTTCTCGATATTTTTAACAATAAAGAATACATTAGAGATTAAAAAATATTACCTGGTACTTGTTCGTTGTTAAATTTCATATCAACTAAATGGATTAGTGCTTTATGTGGTACAAATGATGCTAAAAATTTTTGATTGCCTAAATTTCGGACAAAACTAGTGACATGTCCTCCATTTACAAGAATTTCTAGATTACCAGAACCTGCTCCTGATCCATCAACTATATAATAAAGTTTAAAAATGTTAGGAACAATCTTAAATATTTGTATTTCTAATTATGAATAACTTCTATAGTTACTCGTTAATAATTACTTTCAAATTCTACTGGTTCACCCACCACTCCATTTGGTATATGGCCAACTTTAATAGCGTACACATCATATGCATGACTCCTGAGAAAACAGGATTTAAATAAACAAGGATAAAACTGTATTATTTTAGATATTTTATATGATTATACAGTGAAAACTCTCTATAACGAATCTGAAGGGACCATGTGATTTCTTTCGTTATTGAGAGTTTTCGTAATAGAGAGTAATTAATAGGTTTTAAATCAAACCAACCATTTTAAGTTAACTTAATTTTATTTACGTAATATAGAGTTTTTCGTTGTAACGAGTTTCGTTATAGAGAGTTTTCACTGTATATAAATTTAAAWTGCGTTAAAGTTTAACGGTTAAGCAATTAAAAAAAAATACAAATTTAATGTTTTGAACGTAATATATTCTTATATTAGCTTTAGATTTAGATTTACCTAAATGGAGAACCAATAACTCTWGTACCATTAATTTTCACATCAATTGAATGTTCTCCAATTTGTTCAGCTGTAAACTGTGCCAAAATATGACCTTGTGCAATGTTCCTAGACATTCTCACAGGAATCATCTTATTTGATGGACCTATAACATTTCAAATATATTATGTAAAAACATAAACGAAATATTTTGTTACCATGAAATCAACATTTTACATACCAATCACTGTGACATTAATATTGGCTAGTGCCTCGTCAGAATTTATGTAAATTGTTGAATATCTATTTACGGGCATGAGTTGCATATTTTCTCCAAAAACTATATCTGTAAAAAAAAAATAGATGTATAAAAATAGATCCATTGTTAGAAATAAATAATAACAAAAGCTATTCTTACCATTATTTTTTGGTTTTGACGGAGACAAAGCACTTTTTGGTGATACATAACTATGATTTGGGGAAAGGGAACTAGGAATATTTAAATGTAATGGTGATGAGATACTATGAAATCCAGATTCTGAATGGTTAGTTGACTATCAAATAAATATAAAAATATATCAAAAAATATGATACCTATTKTATTATTATTAAAAATAAAACCTACTTTATACGTATTGCTATGTAGATGATTAATAGGAGAAGAAGTGAATTTTGGCGATTGCAGAGGTGAGATAGGTCTAAGAAGACCAATTTTATTATATTCATTAGAAGAAGTAAAGTCATCTAAAAATATAAAAATATAATTAATAACCTGAATATTATCATAAGTATGAAATTCTTAACATCTTACTGAAAGCAGAAGAGCTATTTCCATTGACTAATTTTGTAGGTGCTGAAAAATAAATATGTTTTATTAAGTAGTTATAGCCTTTAGGACTACATTGGTAGATAGGTACATAACATGTATTACGTATATATATCCACATAAGTACAACCATATATTTTTATATCAATTTATTCGATACTTCAATAGTTTTATATCATGAATTCAT